ATGAACTCTTCCCCCGCCTACAGTCCCTGTTTAAATACACATGCGTTATTCCCACATAAAGAGCCACATCAATTATCCTGCACCAAACAAAACATAATCTTCATCCTCCTCAAAATAAGAAAAAGAAAGAAAAACTAATTCTTGCCTCAGACCGAGAACATTTTTATTCCCAATATTATCAACTTCACCTGGTGAGTTTTCTAAGAAAAAAAGAAACAGTGTTTCACACCAAGCGCATTTTTATTCCCAGTATTAGCAACTCCACCTGGTGCGTTTCCTAGGAAAAAAAAACAAGAAAAAACTGAACCAAACCACCCAGTGCGTTATTACATGAGCCAGGAAAGAGTTTTGAGAGAGTTTGAGCTTCTTGCTGCTGGTGTATGTTCCAAGAACACCTTAGTCCGGATCGTAGGCTAATTTATTTTGCGCTGTTGTACTTTTCATCGCAATCTTTTGTTTTTGGAAGTGTATTTAAAAGCAAAAGATGTTCTTTAAATTATTAAGGATGTTCTTTAATTTAAAAACAAAAATTAAATATGTGTTTAATTTATAGTTATATATTGTTGTTAGGAGGTTATTGGAAACGTTACCCCCCCCCCCCCCTACCATTCTCATGCTGTCTGTTCAATCCGAATATTTTGCTCCAGATATGCGTTTCAAATATTTTTTTACACGTGTTTATTAAAAAGGTTATGTTTGGTCCAGGTAATTTAACCAGATGTTTAGTTCCAGGTGTATATGGAAAGTATATACTCCAACAATTATGTTCAGTTGTTCATTTATCCTACAGGTTTCTATTTTAATGATTTGTTGCAATTGTTCTGGAAAAAAATAAACCCCCCAAAATATAAAACTTTCAATTTAATTACAATTATTTTTATTGTATATGTAACAAATCAAAATTAGTAGTACACGATGTACATTTTCCCCAGTTCTCCACCATACATTTAATCTCTCCTGTTTCTTCCCCCTGACGTAAATGTTCACCCCCTGTTATTGATCTCTGACCAATGACATCACTGACCTTTGACCCCTGAAGCTGCCATTGGGACAACCTCCTCCCTGGCCTAGTTCATCATGGTTTTTCAAATTCCACAGGAAAAAGGCTTGTCCAATGGCTCTCGTACCAACCTGTCCTCCTACAACCTGTTCTCCTACAACCTATCCTACAACCTGTCCTTCTACAACCTGTCCTTCTATAACCTGTCCTTCTATAACCTGTCCTCCTACAACCTGTCCTATAACCTGTCCTACAACCTGTCCTATAACCTGTCCTACAACCTGTCCTACAACCTGTCCTTCTATAACCTGTCCTCATACAACCTGTCCTCCTACAACCTGTCCTACAACCTGTCCTTCTACAACCTGTCCTTCTACAACCTGTCCTACAACCTGTCCTACAACCTGTCCTACAACCTGTCCTCCTACAACCTGTCCTCCTACAACCTGTCCTACAACCTGTCCTACAACCTGTCCTCCTACAACCTGTCCTCCTACAAAGAACGTCGCTTTTCGCCCGTATACGTTACATACGGCCAAAAATTGTCGTACTAGAAAATGGAAGCGGCTGGCGAAAGTGACGTACTGTCCCCGTTTTCTGTTTCGGGTCCTCTGGTAGGTTAGGGAGAGGACACTTTAAATTAACCGTTTTCTTGACGTTGGGAAACCTTAAGAGGACGTACGACTTTATCAATAGAAAGTTGAGATGTAAGTGACATCGTAGACACGATTGTTCGTAACCTTACCTAACTTAACCTGGCTATCTGGGGAGAACTCGCGAAACCATCAACTGGTAAACTACAGGTATCCCTAAAGGTTGCCACATCTTCATCTCGTTCTCTAGAGCGTTCACTACGTCACTAAACGGATGGACTATATTGCCCGAACCTAACCTAATAGAAGACTCACGAATGGAAAACGAGACATTTTCGCCAATTTAGTAATGTAAATCAGTTTTTGGCCTCAAGGGGGGTTTTATACGTCAAAATACGATGCACTATTGGAGAGGAGGGATTGAACCCTTTCTCAACAATCAAAAAATCAATCTTCAACCTCACTTTGTATTGTATTTTGGCTGTATTCTGAATTTCCGTCTTCTCCCCTGCTACTAACTAAATTCAGTCTCCCGCGTTACAACACAAGCCAATAGGATCCAGCAGTCTGTTATTGCCTCAGGCCATCACCTGTGGGGGAGCGTCATCTGCTACCACCAGGAAATTGAACGCCTAGCCTCACTTTATTCATGCTCTCTCACTCTCCTCATTCTCCGCTCTCTCACTCACCTCATTCACGTTCTTTCACTCACCTCATTCACGCTTTCACTCATCTCATTCACCTTATTCACACTGAGGGATCGACCAGTCGCCTCACTCACTCTCCTCTTTCTCTCTGGCTTCACTCATTATTAGTCCCCCCCCCTCATGGCTTTGTTATCCAGAGACATTGCAGTAGCCATACACAGACTCAGACTTGGCTACAAGTGCTGCTGGGAGATAATAAACCCAATAATTAGTGTCATATCTGAGGAACAGAAGCAGCGGCGCCACTATTGCACTACTTATGCTACAATGTGAAGCAACTGAAGCCCTGCGCATCAAACTCAACATTCAACTAACAAGAGCAGCGGCATTAGATGTAAAATCCACAGCGACCACAATGGTTAGAAAAACAGTTGAAGAATGGGACACAATAGTGAACATTGTGCATCTATATCCCCACTAAGATAATGTTATTAAAACAATACTAAAACTAGTGCGAAAAGAAGGAAATTCTACCTTCATTAACTCAGTTACGGGCTCACCATAGCCCGTGCTACTCGGACATTTTGTCCCCAGTAGCTCAATCTAAAACAATCTAAAACAACAACAAATCGAGCTTTTGGCATTCCTAACAGGGCAGTTTCTAGTTTCCATTTCTCCATTCTAGAGCAGTTTGCTAAGCTCGGAATACAAGGTAAATTACTGAAATGGATAAAGGGTTATTTGTCTAAGCGAACACTTTGAACTTTGAACTTCACAAGGAGGAGTCTTCAACCCTTTGTTGTTCAACGCTCTGGTGCAGAAACTTATTCCAGATCGTCCAACTAATAATGAAGACACGAGCATTTATGATGATATTTGTTTACAGGGTGCCTCCGAGCCTGGAATGTCAGTGGTGCTCGATGAGTGTGCTACTACACCTGATGAATGTGGACATTCGTCAGCCTTGTAGACATTCATATCTCTGTACAGAAAACTCGTGCTTTCATCCCATGTGGTGTTGACTAGACCACACACTAGAAGGTGAAGGGACGACGACGTTTCGGTCCGTCCTGGACCATTCTCAAGTCGATTGTCACACAATCGACTTTAGAAGGTGAAGGGACGGCGACGTTTCGGTTCGTCCTGGACCATTCTCAAGTCGATTGTGACACAATCGACTTGAGAAGGTGAAGGGACGGCGACGTTTCGGTCCGTCCTGGACCATTCTCAAGTCGATTGTGACTGCTTGTGACACAATCGACTTGAGAATGGTCCAGGACAGACCGAAACGTCGTCGTCCCTTCACCTTCTACTGTGTGGTCTGGTCAACATACTTTAGCCACGTTATTGTGACTCATCGTCTGCATCCCATGTAATGTTCCACCACCCAGTTATCATATCGATGGGCGACCACTTGAGAAGTGGGAGACTTACAGATACCTCGGTGTCCCCGTTAACCACCTTTTGTTCTCTCAAGAGATTTAAGAGACTCTGGCAGAGATTTAAGCCCTTGCGGGTCCTTAACGTGAGACTTCCTACAATGCTCTGCATACCATTTATCACTTCTGTGATTGACATTAATGCTCTACATCTCAAACTGCAGACAGAGAAAGAGCTAAAATTCCTTGGAACTTTGTAAAACGAAGCTATGTGAGTCATCCTTAGGAGTCCAAAGTCCACGAAAATAGTCAATATGAGTGCAGAGTTAAAATTGCCTCTCGTAAGTAGGAGAATTTTGGCCATTAGCGCAGTTTTCGGCGTGAAGGCGTTGAGATTTGGGCCCCACACCAAATTTTAAACTAAGCTGATTCACGTTACACTCACCTGAGCCGACAGACAGACAGGGAAATTTGATTACGCATTTTAGTTTTATAAAGTATCCAACACCATCAAAATGTTAAATGTGTACCCGAGTCTATTAACGATTAATCAGTCAAGCCATAGGATAAGGGCGCTCTATCAGTACATTTAGTAAATGCTTCCAAAAAAGACAGTGAATACGATACGTTATTCAAAGAGTTATCTATGAAAAGCATGACTGAGAGTTGTGAGGTTATGGGCAATGATGTGTATATCAGTGCTCTATACCTGACGGCTCTGTGGTGGAGGCTGTACTGCATTATACAGGTGATATATTACAATTTTGGCCTTATGTAACGCATACGATCGAAATACGACGTTCTTTGTGGGAGTTGTAGTGACTGGGTCAGTACAACTCAGACGGAACTTGCAAGCATACACCTCCAGAGCGCTGTCCACTCAACTATCAAGCCCCTATTATGTCTGCGTGCGTGCGTGCGTGCGTGCGTGCGTGCGTGTGTGTGTGTGTGTGCGTGTTGCATGTTTGTAAATCATTTACCTCGCCAGCGTACCGCGAAAATGTTTGAAAAAAAAATGTGTCCACGTTTACTCGGTGAGGAGATGAAGACATTATTTCTCTTGGCGAACGTTCAAGCAGCGCATTTGTTGTTGTTGTTTAAGATTCACTACCTGGAAGAAAATGTTCCACGTAGCACGGGCTATGGTGAGCCCGTAGTGCACTTTTTACAGCGCACTTACTCCTTCACTTCCCCAGCATCCAGAGGGAGGGAGAGGGGGACCGAGATGCAAAATAAATATTAAAGATATAGAAAGGGAAGGATAGGAAAGATCACCGATGAAATTTGAGAAAAATGGGCAAAAAAGCAGATGAAAGGATTTGCTTTGGGCTCCGTCGAGATTGTCCCTAGGAAAAAGGTCTCGGTATATTTCCTACAGAATTTAAAATATATCACAATAAAAGACATAAGAAGAGAAGAACACAATTAAGGCTCTCTGCCCAGCCTCCGGCACTGCCCGATGGTTGTGGATGACGAGGGATGGTTCTGGGTGACGAGGGATGGTTGTGGGTGACGAGGGATGGTTGTGGATGACGAGGGATGGTTGTGGATGACGAGGGATGGTTGTGGGTGACGAGGGATGGTTGTGGGTGACGAGGGATGGTTGTGGGTGACGAGGGATGGTTGTGGATGGCGAGGGATGGTTGTGGATGACGAGGGATGGTTGTGGGTGACGAGGGATGGTTGTGGGTGACGAGGGATGGTTGTGGATGGCGAGGGATGGTTGTGGATGGCGAGGGATGGTTGTGGATGACGAGGGATGGTTGTGGGTGACGAGGGATGGTTGTGGATGACGAGGGATGGTTGTGGATGGCGAGGGATGGTTGTGGGTGACGAGGGATGGTTGTGGGTGACGAGGGATGGTTGTGGATGACGAGGGATGGTTGTGGATGACGAGAGATGGTTGTGGATGGCGAGGGATGGTTGTGGATGGCGAGGGATGGTTGTGGATGGCGAGTGATGGTTGTGGATGGCGAGGGATGGTTGTGGATGACGAGGGATGGTTGTGGGTGACGAGGGATGGTTGTGGGTGACGAGGGATGGTTGTGGATGGCGAGGGATGGTTGTGGATGGCGAGGGATGGTTGTGGATGACGAGGGATGGTTGTGGGTGACGAGGGATGGTTGTGGATGACGAGGGATGGTTGTGGATGGCGAGGGATGGTTGTGGGTGACGAGGGATGGTTGTGGGTGACGAGGGATGGTTGTGGATGACGAGGGATGGTTGTGGATGACGAGAGATGGTTGTGGATGGCGAGGGATGGTTGTGGATGGCGAGGGATGGTTGTGGATGGCGAGTGATGGTTGTGGATGGCGAGGGATGGTTGTGGATGGCGAGGGATGGTTGTGGATGACGAGGGATGGTTGTGGATGACGAGGGATGGTTGTGGATGGCGAGGGATGGTTGTGGATGACGAGAGATGGTTGTGGATGGCGAGGGATGGTTGTGGATGACGAGGGATGGTTGTGGGTGACGAGGGATGGTTGTGGATGACGAGGGATGGTTGTGGATGACGAGGGATGGTTGTGGATGACGAGAGATGGTTGTGGATGGCGAGGGATGGTTGTGGATGGCGAGGGATGGTTGTGGATGGCGAGTGATGGTTGTGGATGGCGAGGGATGGTTGTGGATGGCGAGTGATGGTTGTGGATGGCGAGGGATGATTGTGGATAACGAGGGATGGTTGTGAATGATAAGGTATAGTTGTGGATGCTGGAGAGAATGGGCTCGATTATCACAGCATTTCTGCTGACAAGAGCGATGATGTCACACCAGCAGCTGACTCCTCTGACAACACCAGTGATGTCACAGCTGGCACCGCTGCCAACGTGCTTCTCCCAACCCTTCCGGCACTTGAGAGCCACATACTTGGCACCGAAGTGAGAGCGGTGGTAGACCTCTCCCCGACTACTACTCTCCCTGGTCAGTCTACCTGACCACTCTCCCTGAAGATAGGAAACCGCTACGGAATGGTGTTGAGCGTGTTAGGAAAACAACAATTTAATTTCGTCTGGCACGAGTAAGTAGAGGGACGTCACAGTGCCATCAGAGTGCCGTTCTTTGTGACCAAGACATGGGAGAGAGAGAGAGAGAGACAGTCAGAGATAGATAGAGACAGACGGAGAGAGAGAGAGAGAGAGAGAGAGAGAGAGAGAGAGAGAGAGAGAGAGAGAGAGAGAGAGAGAGAGAGAGAGAGAGAGAGAGAGAGAGAGAGAGAGAGAGAGAGATGACAAAAAGACAGGTGGTTGGTTTCATTTGCTAGCAAGTCGAGTGACTATGTAGCCTAGGCCCGGATTCAACGCGCCGTCACGCAAGAACTTACTAAACTATTCCTTCCTATCGCCTTCTTGGCGGTTACGTGGCGTTTTTCGACAAACTGTTTACGTTCGCTGCTCTTCCCAAGACCGGCTCCTCGCCCACGACACCTCTGGAACACACTTAAGTGTTACGTAAACCGTATATATGTTGCATTTTCTCGACTACACAACCGGTAACTCAAGAGACCGTCCCCGTTGGAGCCCGGCATGCCAGTAAAATGTACTTTGTGAGTCTGTAACTTGTACTAAATGTGCATTTCATAACCAAAATCTTTGGGGGGGGGGGGGTAGAAATAGCCTAAGCTACTCTATCCCTTTGAGATATATTTATTTCTTATCTCAATAAACATACTTGAACTTGAACTTTCCAGTGGTGTATATCCACTGAGTGTAGCTCTGATCTCGACTACAGTATCTCTCTCTCTCTCTCTCTCTCTCTCTCTCTCTCTCTCTCTCTCTCTCTCTCTCTCTCTCTCTCTCTCTCTCTCTCTCTCTCTCTCTCTCTCTCTCTCTCTCTTTCCCTCCCCCACCGAGGGGTCGGGGATCAAATCAGCAGTCAACACACACAGTAGCAGCCTGACACCACCATTAGGTAATGAATGAGCCAGCTTCGTTAACCTTATCGACGGAGACGGCCCGCCGCCGCCCCCCACTCCCTCACTCGTGGAGATTGTTTGCCACCTCTCTCCTCCTCCCAGCACTCTGGGGACCCCTCCCAGGTTCTTCCCCAGCCTTGTCCTGCACGTGTTTGATGTGTGATCATTGTCCTGAAGTTGTATCCACTGATTCTGTCTCTCTCTCTCTCTCTCTCTCTCTCTCTCTCTCTCTCTCTCTCTCTCTCTCTCTCTCTCTCTCTCTCTCTCTCTCTCCTCTCTCTCTCTCTCTCTCTGTCTCTCTCTGTCTCTCTCGTCTCTCTCTGCTCTCTCTGTCTCTCTGTCTCTGTCTCTCTCTCTCTCTCTCTCTCTCTCTCTCTCTCTGTCTCTCTGTCTCTCTCTGTCTCTCTCTGTCTCTCTCTCTCTCTCTGTCTGTTCTTCTCTCGTCTGTGTCTGTCTCTCTCTCTCTCTCTCTCTCTCTCTCTCTCTCTCTCTCTCTCTCTCTCTCTCTCTCTCTCTCTCTCTCTCTCCCTCCCTCCCTCCCTCCCTCCCTCCCTCCCTCCCTCCCTCCCTCCCTCCCCCCTCCCTCCCCCCCCCCCCTCCTCCCCCCCCCCTCCCCCCCCTCCTCCCCCCCCCCCCCCCCCCCCCCCCCCCCCCCGCCGGCCAACTCCACTTCCGGCATTAATATTCATGCAACATAAAGTTATCTTGGTATGGAATAAAATATTTTACTCTGAAGTATATTTTGAGTTTTTTTTTGTTCATGTCAGTGTGTAATAGTTCGTGTTCATCTTGTACTTTTTGACTTCCCTGTTAGTTTTTGTTATGTATCTTGTTCTCTTGTTCATCTTAACCCTTTGGTGCTCAGTTTTATTTGTACTTCATGAGTGTTGTTCAGTTATGGAGTTCAGTGTAGGTTGCCAAGCCCCTCTTGAGGCCTAAGGATAGGAGACAGACTAAGAGTGTTTCAAGCACTGGAGTCTTGTCGGGTTACCGAGCCGTTTTCCTCATAGCTTGACTCGTAATTTTGGGTCTGAAGCTGAGATTGTTGACCTGTCCCCCCAAGGTTTAATTAATATTTGGGTTAATCCTCTGCCTGGTGTACCATCCCCGTGTGTGTGTGTGTGTGTGTGTGTGTGTGTGTGTGTGTGTGTGTGTGTGTGTGTGTGTGTGTGTGTGTGTGTGTGTGTGTGTACTCACCTAATTGTGCTTGCGGGGGGTTGAGCTCTGGCTCTTTGAACCCGCCTCTCAACCGTCAATCAACAGATGTGTGCGCTTGGGCAGTTGATCAGTGGTGAAGGTTGTATGGAAATCCAACTTTCCCTAGTCTCCGTCCCCCCCCCCCCACCCAACTTATTCCCCCCCCCCTTTTCCCCACACTCCTCATCCACCCCCGGCCCCCCTCCCATAATCACCCCCCCCCTCCCCCCCCTCCCCTCCCCCCCCCCCCCTCCCTGGCATCCTAACTTAACCCTCAGATTCGCCGTCAACTTTATTGTCAATTTCCTCCCCGCAGCCACTTCACGGCCGTCAAATTTCCCCCATTTTTCAGGACCTAACACCTCGCCATGAATAAATTTCCCCGCCCCGGATTTAAAGCAGCTTATAGATAGGGTATTTTTTTATTTTTTTTAAGTGGTTTACCGATATTTTTACCCTGGAGAAAACTGGCCATGTAAACCGCGGGTGTGAAGTTCACACCCACCTTGATGGGTTTCCAGGCCGGGTTTCCAGTCCGGGTTTCCAGTCCGGGTGGTATCCCACCACCCGTCCCAGTAGCTGTATTGTCTAAGTTTAAGTGTCTAAGTTTATAGTGGCTTTAGGCATTGTATGTACTAGTGTAACACCACTCTAAAGTGTACCACTATAATGGTTACTAAAACTAATAATGTAAACACTACTTATCCTGAGTAAATCCATCAACTTTGTATCCTACCTTGTATGTATGTACCTTACCTAAATTAAACAAAATATTTATTTAATTTAAGTTTGTATGGGGAGTCATGGTGCAGGGGGGGTCGGGAAACACCCCCCCCCCTTCCTGGCAGTCTAGCATGTTGTTGTTGTTTAAGATTCAGCTGCTCGGAACACAAAGTTCAAAGTAGCACGGGCTATGGTGAGCCCGTAGTGGACTTACCTGGCACAGGAGCGAGGCTGTAACTTAGTCTAGCAGGACTCAAGGCAACCTATCCATCTCTCTTCTGCTTTCTCAGTAACATTTTATCATACAATTGTTAACAGAGCTTTTCTTAATTTTTGTTTTTTAAATGTGTTGTGATATTATGCTGTCGAGCCGTCCAGGAGCGGTCGTCGTGTCGTGCTGGGTTATCTTCTTGATGTTATCTTGAGATGGTTTCGGGGCTTAGCGTCCCCGCGGTCCGGTCCTCGACCAGGCCTCTTTTATGTTACACATACCCCAAGAAGCAGCCCGTAGCAGCTGTCTAACTTCCCAGATACCTATTTACTGCTAGGTGAACAGTGCATCGGGGTGAAAGAAACTCTATCTATTTGTTTCCGCCTCCACCGGGGATCGAATCCGGAACCTCAGGACTACGAATCCCGAGCGGCGGCCACTCAGCCGTCAGGCCCCTTAGTCGTGGGTAGTGGTGTGGTGCAGGCTAAGGAACACATGGCTTAACCTTTGCCGTCTTTGGTCAATTCTCGCTTGCAATTCTTGCAATTGATCGTGATGGATTTTACCTCGATTATTGCTCACACTTTCCTTCAATTTTCACTTCTTTTCACTCACGTGGAATTGTCCATTCTCACCTGATATTGCTCACCTTGATCGTTCGCTTCCAAGGGCCCAGTCCTTCACTTCACTTCGCTCACTTAAAAGGTCTTATGTATTTTTTTCATAGAGTATCATTTACCCCCGAGTGGGTTAATTCTCATTTAGCATCGTTCACCCAGAATGGTTTAATTTTCCGCTGGTGTCACATACCGAGGAATGCTTTCAGTTCTTGTTCATAATGCTTCGATTAACGCCACCAGTTTCACTGGAAATCGTTACATGTCATCAAGTTTCGGCATATCATATATATATATATATATATATATATATATATATATATATATATATATATATATATATATATATATATATATATATATATATATATATATAATCGTAATAGCTTAGCGCTTCCCCTGATTCACTTCCCTAAGGGTAGGGAAGGGTTCCCTACCCTTCCCTGTGACGTCACCAAGAGGAAACATAGTCGTTAAGTAACAAGGAACAAGGGTTCAGGACGGACCAAAAAAACTCCTCATGTTATTAAATGATCAAATCCACAAGGGCCGTGACGAGGATTCGAACCTGCGTCCGGGAGCATCCCAGACACTGCCTTAATCGACTGAGCTACGACAGGGTTGATGTTCCTTTCATGTTCCTGGGTTATATTAATTTGTTGCAGCGACGTTGCTACTTGCTCTCTCCTCACCATCCTGCCCCGGCTGCTTGACGAGGTTACTGGACGCTTACCCATGTTGCTAGGGGGAGTTTGTTGCAAATCAGTATTATGGAAATACCCACCAGATGGGAAACAGTGTTATAGAGATACCCACCAGATGGGAAACAGTGTTATAGAGATACCCACCAGATGGGAAACAGTCATAGATACCCACCAGATGGGAAACAGTGTTATAGAGATACCCACCAGATGGGAAACAGTTATAGAGATACCCACCAGATGGGAAACAGTTATAGAGATACCCACCAGATGGGAAACAGTCATAGAGATACCCACCAGATGGGAAACAGTTATAGAGATACCCACCAGATGGGAAACAGTCATAGAGATACCCACCAGATGGGAAACAGTCATAGAGATACCCACCAGATGGGAAACCATTATTGTATTCCCAATTTTCAAGAAAGAGTTATGGAGGAAGCCCAAACTAGACCAATGTCATCGGACATGCATCTCATGAATGGTGATGGAGAAGGCAATTCAATCGGAACAAATCCTCGAGGCATCTAGGGATGGTGGCTCTCAGGTAAATTCAGGTAAACGTCAAATCACAGACCATTTGGGTAGCATAGAACCTGTCTATGGGGACAGTTGGTTCAGGGAAGGAAAAGTAACTTTTAACCAACTTGTTAAGTGTTCTGTATCGGGATCAGGAACCTCAGGCAGGAAATGGAATGGAAACCATCTGAATATTTTTATGAACTGTCTCAAACCTTTCAAGATGGTGGCACAGAAATTGCATATCAACAGAGCGGAGAAGCAGCCTGCTGTCAGGTGGTGTCAAAGGCCTGGTGTCAGGCTGTTTCTGTTGTCAGGTGGTGTCAACAGCTTGATGAACAAATCCACAAGGGCCGTGACGAGGATTCGAACCTACGTCCGTGTTCTGCCGTGACGAATCCTCGTCACGGCCCTTGTGGATTTGTTCATTTGATACATCACGCTATTGTGATTTCTGTGTGTAACAGCCTGATGTGTCATGGAGGAAGCATAATGGATAAAACAGAACTTGAACGGAACAGAACAAAACAGAACAGAAGAATCCTATCTATCTCCCAAGACAATAAAGTGATTGACTTATGAGAAGACACGTCTCTCAAGATTGCAATATTACATGTATTAGGACTCCCAATGTGAACCATTTGGGTACGGTTGGGGGCCTTGATCCCGTTGTTTCTTACACCTGGTGGCCTGGCACCTCTTATTCTACAACCGCGGTCTGAGACGCCCCCAGGGTCTGAGACGCCCCCAGGGTCTGAGACGCCCCCAGGGTCTGAGACGCCCCCAGGGTCTGAGACGTCCCCAAGGTCTGAGACGCCCCCAGGGTCTGAGATGCCCCCAGGAGGCCTGGAGACCTCGTCAGTGTCACTTTCTTTCAGAAGTGTGGGTTGGGTCATATTTTAAGCCACGTTAAATTACGCCATTCTCTGAGATGAGATTTTAACCTCATCATTTGGGTTCGTCTTTTGAGATTTGAATGACTAATGCAGTATTTCAAGTTTTATTGGCGACGCGCCTTGTAGGATTGGATCCCGGGGTTGATTCTCCTGTTGTGGGGATGGGGGGGGGGGGTTGAGCACAGATTGTAAACCTAATCCTAAGATTAGAGGCACTTAGGGTTGTCATGGCATCCACGACACCGTTGGCACTGTGCCTGAGGGAATGTTTATCAATGTGATCGTTCACACTGTAAAAGAAGATTTTGAGTTGTGGCTTTTATTATTAACCACGTATATAGTTTAACATGCATAAATTTAACTCGGTAGTGTGTTATTCAGTCTTCACTGTGAAGTATATGGGCGTAGGCAAGAGCCTTTGACCGACACCTCTGGAAGTGTCAATCTCCTCCGGTCCTGAAGTACTGCTCTTTGAGTTCTGGAAGTGGTATTCCTAGTCCTTGAAGTTCTGTTCCTCCAGTCCTAGAAGTGGTATTCCTAGTCCTTGAAGTTCTGTTCCTCCAGTCCTGGAAGTGCCATTGATTCAGTAGAAGAATTACTAGACAAATTACGTGTTAGTCTTCTTCTAGCGGACATTTTCCTTAGTCAGATGTGTACAGGCAATACTTCAGCTCAAGGGTAGCCTCTTCCTTGGAAGTTCAGTCAAGAAATCCTCGCAACATTCCTGCTCGATTCCTGGAAACGTTCCATCTCGACCTGGAAAGTCCTCTCTTCCCGGGTCTGGACTCTCCCGCCCTGTACAGTCCCCCTCAACCCTACGTAAACACTACCGGTCTGGACAGCCCCCCGTCCTCCCCCGTCACCCCAGCCACGGCAACACACTCAACCATGCCCATAAAAATAAGAGTTATTAGGCACTTGACCTCAACAATGAAGAGGAAAAGCCCCGTTCCCCCCCTGGGATAGCCGCTCCTATTGAAGCTTTTTGCGCCTCGACCATTTTTGTAACTGGTCGAAGGAGACCTAAAAGGCTGTTGATTATGACGTCTTGACAAAGGAAAAATGACCACGAGTGCAGAGAAAAGGCTTCAGTAATTCAGTAATTTAAGAGCCGAAGAGAAAATGGATAATATTGGGGTCATAAGTGTTTTGTACTCTGTTATATTCATGGTGGGGCTCTTCTGGTCAAGGTCCTGGTTGTGTGCTCTATTGGTTGTGTTCTCTATTGGTTGTGTTCTCTATTGGTTGTGTTCTCTATTGGGTGTGTTCTCTATTGGTTGTGGTCTCTATTGGTTGTGTTCTCTATTGGTTGTGGTCTCTATTGGTTGTGTTCTCTATTGGTTGTGGTCTCTATTGGTTGTGGTCTCTATTGGTTGTGGTCTCTATTGGTTGTGTTCTCTATTGGTTGTGGTCTCTATTGGTTGTGGTCTCTATTGGTTGTGTTCTCTATTGGTTGTGTTCTCTATTGGTTGTGTTCTCTATTGTTTGTTTTTTCTGCCTGCTCTATAAACACACACACACCTGCTCCATAATCACACCTGCTGAACATACATGGACGTGCTTTATAAACACATCACTACACATACACCTGCTGAACATAATCACCTGTTGAAAATACACACACACGGGTCCAAAGAGCCAAAGTTTAACCCAGCGCAAACACAATTAGGTGAGTACACACACACACACACACACACAGGGAGAGGGGCCTCGTGGCTGAGTGGACAGCACTTAGGGGGTCGTAGTCCTAATAGCCCGGGTTCGATTCCCGGCGGAGGCGAAATGGGCAGAATTTTTCCACCCTGATGCCCGTGTTTAAACAGATACGTGGGAGTTACACAGCTGCTACGGGCTGCTTTCTGGGGATGTGTGTGTGTGTGTGTGTGCTGGACACACTTGAGTGTGAGTGTGTCCGGTGTTAAGTCCGGGCTTGTTGTCCAGACGCCGCGTGATCCTCGGGGCTTTGGACAACGGCCCGTGAGCACGTGGTTCGGGATTTACGAAACCATTTGCGAAACCTGTACGTCTTTTCTTAATCTTGGAGGCTGTGTTTACATTTATTGAACACTTTATGAGCTTCGGAGCTTCTACAGCCCAAGGTTATTAGTGTTATAACCGACTTTGTATTGAGGTTATACAAACTGTTGAATACGTGTCAACAGAGCCATATTGATTTAGAAAAGATGTACAGGTTTCGTTAGCGGTGGAAGGGATGGGAAGGGAATTATCAGGGTAAAGCACCAAGCAATTATGACTATATAGTACTTGGAAGGGGGGTCAGGATAAGGATTTGGGATGGGACGGGGGGGAAGGAATGGTGCCCAACCCACTTGGACGGTCGGTGATTGAACGCCGACCTGCATGAAGTGAGACCGTAGCTTCATGCAGGTCTCGGAGAGAGCTATCACCTTCAGATAGTAGAATATGATCCTGGTCATTGTGTTTGAACCTCCTGCTTTGTGTGTGTGTGTTTTTCAGTGCTATGTGTACTCATCTAGTTGTGCTAAGTGAGTGTGTGTGTGCACTCACTTTCAGTATCGAGCTCTAGCTCTTGAACCCTGCCTTTCTAGCCGCCCGTTGTCTAAATCAATGATCCTGGCCTCTTTCCCTATCATACCTGCTTTTAAAGTTATGAATGTATTTTGCCCCTGCAACCTGCTCTTTGAGGCTATTTCATTCACCTCGATACTCTTACGCGAAAAGACCACTTTCAAACATCTCTGACACATTTGAGTCTCGGGCTTCCATCCATGCTCTCTTGCTCTACTCATACTCATTGTAAACATTTCCTCTTTTTCCACACTGTTAAACCGCTATTTTATACGTCTGTATCATGTCTTCCCTCTCCTACTTTCCAGCGTCGTTAGGTTTATGCACCTCAACAACTACTTCATGCTGTCATTCGTTTCCCTCATATGGGCTGAAGACTTGATAGCAAAACATTGTGTAGGAAAACATCTTTGAGACTCGTCTTGGAGGAAAACTAGAGGTAATCAACAATTTGAAACATCATTTCCATCTCATTAATCCAGAATTAGTTAAGATAGACCTTATTTGTTTCAGAAGCATTTTGGCTGCAGACCAGTGCAGTTGCATGATCAACAACACCTATAATTTAAGCCAACAAGTTTGCTTGCTGGAGCACCCAGTGACGCAGAGAGAGAGAGAGAGAAGGTGTAGAGCAACAGCAGCGAAGGATGGCTTCCCGGGTACATGATCACGGTCCCTGCCTGCGACCCGATGTCCTCAGGAAATTAAATTCTTGTGAAAGGTGGTGATGGGGAGTGAGTGTGTGTGTGTGTGTGTGTGTGTGTTGTGGAGGGAAGAGGGAGCCGAGTTGAATTTCCGTGTTTTATGGTAGTATGGACCAAGTTTGAATAGCAGGAATTTTTTTTAATTATTCCGAGATCAGACAATAATGGTGTATATTTTTATAATAAATATATACCGGTATAAGGATAAGGAGCTGCGATACGAGGACAAGAAGGTAGGATATGAGACTACCCGTCCTCAGACCAAGTCCATTCCATCCAGTGGTCGACCCCCCAAGACGCATTCATCAATTTTAACATGCTGTTCATTTAAAACAGGAATTCTCTCAAATATAATTATAAATTATTACATTTTAGCATATTGTACATATTTAAGCAATCATAACCCGAGGTTATTATTGTTATAAACAACCTCGTAGTACTTCAAAGCTCATAAACTGTTTAAAATATGTAAACAAAGCCGACATGATTGAGGAAAGATGTACAGGTTTCGTAATTAGTTGCGTAAATGCTTAATGAATCAAGAGACCTGGTAGATGCAGAACAAGAATTAGAAAAAAACAAATGAATACCACGACAGAAGGTAAAGAGAAAAACGAAAAATATTACAAATCTTAAGAATACAAATCAGAGGAGAAGAAAGATAAGAGAAATTACGCCGAAGGAAATGAAAGCTGTTGGTTATATTTCCCCCGACGGCTGAAACAGTTAGGGAGCCGTAAACACGTCCCGAGGCGATGATTGGTCGACGGTGTTTACTCGCTAGTGTTGCCATATCTCGCGCCCAAGTATATAGATGTGTCATTCACCGGGTGGGCAGCGATGTGTCACGCGGCGGCTGCTGCCTCAGGTAAGACACCTGCTGGAATGTGTTATATAAAATGCCAAAGCTGGATAGTTTACCGAGGTGGTGTAATCCGCTGCAAGGTTAGAGGCCACATTCACGAAGCAGTTGCGCAAGCACTTACCAACCCTGTATACATCTTTTCTCAATCTTTGGTGGCTTTGTTTACAATAATTAAACATCTCCGAAGAACCAGGAGGCTGTTTATAACAACAACAACAGTTGATTGGGAAGTTTTCAAGCTTGTAAGCTGTTTAATAAATGTAACCAAAGCCGTCAAAGATTGAGGAAAGATGTACACGTTCGTAAGTACTTGCGTAACTGCTTCGTGAATCTGGCCCCAGGCCGATGTAGCCTATTCACTTGGTAAAGACTTTGAGGCGAGGAGCAGATATATACACAAAGGGGTGTACTTGACTTCAGGGGATATAGATAGATATATACACAGGCAGGTGTACCCCATATCTGTGCGTATATACACACTGAGAATTTACTTAAGCTATCTTGTGGGATAACGTACTCTTGCTGGTTGGTCATTAGGCACATGTCGTGGTCTTAACCATGACATGTGCCTAATCACACCCCAGGAAGCAGCCCGTGACAGCTGACTAACTCCCAGGTATCTATTTACTGCTGGGTAATAGGGGCATTCAGGGTGAAAGAAACTTTGCCTATTTGTTTCTGCCTGGTGCGGGAATCGAACCCGCGCCACACAATTACGAGTCCTGCGCGCTATCCACCAGGCCCCTAGGCGTGGTAGCCCAGGGGCATGTATGTATGCGTGCATGTATGTAAGTATGCGTGCATGTATGTAAGTATGCGTGCATGTATGCCAGTATGCGTGTATGTAAATATGCGTACTTGTATGTAGCCCGTGCTACATG